CACTCACTACATGGACTCGTGAACATACCCAACTGGAATATGAAATATGATGTCACCAAGCCCCAGGTCTCAGTAAGAGTTCACTGTGTCTGAAGAAGGCAGTATTTTACAAATCAAGCTTGTCTTTAAGTGGTTTTTTTCAAAATTATTAGTTTTGTTTTTTGTGTTTTTTTGTTTTGGTTTGGTTTTTTTGGCAGAACTGGGGATTGAACTCATATCCTTACGCTTGCCAGGGAAGTGCTTATTCTACTGAGCCATCTCCCCAGCCCCAAAATTATTAGTTTTAAATGTTTCAAATTTTTATATTTCATTTAAAATTGAGTCCTCTTATATTTCTTAAACTATACTTTAATTCAGATGGCAGTAGGTGTAGTCTCTAGTATAGTCATCAGCCTGGGGAAGAAGTAAGACTGAGCCAGGGGTGTGGGTCAGTGATAGAGTGTCTGTTTTGTTTCCACAACACCCAGGTTCAGCCCCTGTGGGAGGAAGGAGAGATTGGCGAAGTGCCTACTGTGCATCAGGCACCTAACTCAAGACCTGCAGAGGTGGGTGACATTATTCCTGTACTACAAATAGGGAAGCCAAGGCCCAGAGGTTGCATTACAGAGCTGACGTTTACAGAGCAGGCCAGGATGGCCTCCCAAGGTGTGTCTCTCTTGCCTTTTATTAGAAAGTAAGCTTGGCCACTAATGGGTCGAAGATGAATCACATTCATTCTTGTGCAGACCTGAAGAAAAGAGCCAAGTAAATTAATGAGAAACATTATAATCTTCAACCTTTGTCTCTAAATTTCCTATCCTGATTTAACACAATACTTCTCTTTTTTTCCTCCCCCACTTTTTTTCCAGCCCCCCTATATAGTCCAGGCTGGCTTCAAACACAGTTATCCTCCTGCTTCAGCCTCCCAAGTGCTGGGATTACAGGTGTGCACCACTATACCTGGCAGTAATATTTTACTTGCCTATTTCTTTTAACTTGAATTATTGGCACACACTGGGAAAATTTGCATACTCATTAAAAGTTTGTCCACTGAGAACTGAGGATGTAGCTTGGTGGTACCCTTTAGCATGTATAAGGCCCTGAGTTTGATTCCCAGCATCAAAATTTAAAAAAAAATTTTTTTTGGTCTGTTGATGCCAGGTTGTTTGATTGTTATGCGTTTGAAGGACTTGTAATCTCCATAAATTGAAAAGGTTAGATTTTTAAAAATCTGAAACTTGAAATCACACATAGGCGTTTGGTGAAACTGTTAGGATACGCAGCAGTGAACACTAAACCTGTGAGTGGCATCTCTATCTCAGTATAGAGTAACTGCTACGAAACAGAAATGTCCTCAACCTAACTCTTAACTTACTATCAAATCAATGATTTTAAAAACCAGGTCCCTGCATTTCACTGACCTTCTCAGACCAAAAAGCTACAACTCTTGTTGCACAGGTCCTGCTTTACCTTGGTCTTAACCATCCAGTAGAAAAGTATGAA